ACCTCCACCACTTTCTACTTTTGATGTTGGACAAGTTACTTTCACAGTAAAAATAATAAGGTCTCTCTAATAGCGTTGTTGCAAAGAGTAGAAGCAATAATACATGCAAATAAAATGCGTTGTAAGCTCTCAGGAAATGTTAGCTATGATTACTTTCTCAGTTCAGCACAGCTGCCTCTGAAATTCCTCTGCCCAAGTTATGATCTTTCAAATCTCCTCTTAAAGAACTCCCCTGGCTCAGTAGTACGGCTAACTACCCCCATGGCTGCGATTAGTGCTGCGTTTTGAGACTGTAGCATGCATTTCAGACATGTAGAAATTGGAAAGCATCCTGGGGGAGAAGAATGACAGTGGTTAGAAGTCATCCTAGCTGGAATTTTTAAATCAGAGCCCAAGGCAAAGGATTTGGATACGCTTCTTCATTAAAGAGTACCATCCCAAGGCAGCCAGAGCAGGGAAAAAGCAGAATGAAGCAGGTCAGAGAAGGCAGCAGAGCCAATGGCAGGAGGCCTCACCAAGCTGATCTTTGCTTGGTATTAAGCACAACTGGTTGCTCCCTCTCTGGGGACTGTCCTGTAAGAAGCTGCGTTAACCAGGACGCAGGAGAGGTCAGCCAGGGAGAGCTCTTATCTGCCCGTTCCTGCCTCCCATTCAAAAGCTGGCCCCACATGGACCTAACTCCCAGATACTTCCAGGTTGCTCATTGAGGTTCCCATAATGTTCTCACCTCAACCTTCCACAGGGAAGCTCCCAGGGGGAGGAACAAGGCATGAGGCTGTAAGCACAAGGCACTGGAGCCCGAGGCTGCCCTGCTGGGTTCTGCACACTCAAGTCCACACAGGATGGCTGCCGTGGAGCCGGCCACTGTGGGGGCTGCTGGGTGGAGCAGGTGGCCAAAGGCAGGTGAAGATGAAGACAGGTTCAACCAAGAGGCTTTAACGTGACACATCCTTAGGTGCCATCTGACATAGAGGCCCATAAAATCAGCTAAGAAGTTCAGGTTATGACATACTGAAGGGTCATCGAATCAAATTCCTTTAGGACTTTAAATTACGTTGGACAAACTGCAGAATAAGAGAAAATATTTGCACAGTAAATATTTAACTTAATATTTAAGAAATAAGGCAAGAAAAAGGAGATTAGCAACCAAAGTATACGAGGAGCTCAAACAACTCAATAGGAAAAAAAAAATCTAATAATCCGTTTAAAAATGGGCAAAAGATCTGAATAGACATTCTTCGAAAGCAGACGTGCAAATGGCAAATGGAGATACGAAAAGGTGCTCAGCATCACTGAACATCAGAGAAACACAAATCCAAACTACAATGCGATATCAGCTCATCACAGCTAAAAATTGCATTTATCCAAAAGACAAGCAATAACAAATGCCGGAGAGCATGTGGAGAAAAGGGAACCCTCATACACTATTGGTGGGAATGTAAATTAGTACAACCACTGTGAAGAACAGTAGAGAGCTTCCTCCAAAAACTAAAAATGGAGCTACCATATAATCCAGCAATGCCACTGCTAGGTATATAACTCCCAATAAGGAAATCAGTATATCCAAGAGAAGCACTCTGTTTCTTGCAGCCAAGATTCAGAAGCAACCTAAATGTCCATCCGCAGATGAATGGATAAAGAGTTGATGGGCGTGTAAATTAGTTCAACCATTATGGAAGACTGTGGCAATTCCTCAAGGATCGAGAACCAAAAATACCATTTGACCCAGCAACCCCATCACTGGGTATATGCCCAAAGGATTATAAATCATTCTACTATAAAGACACATGCACATGTATGTTTATTGCAGCACTATTTACAATAGCAAAGACTTGGAACCAACTCAAATGCCCATCAATGATAGACTGGATAAAGAAAATATGGCACATATACACTATGCAATACTATACAGCCATTAAAAATAGAATGAGTTCTTGTCCTTCGCAGGGACATGGGTGAAGCTGGAAACCATCATTCTCAGCAAACTAACACAGGAACAGAAAACCAAACACCACATGTTGTCACTCATAAGTGGGAACTGAACAATGAGAACACGTGGACACAGGGAGGGAACAACACACACTGGGGCCTGTCAGGGGGTGGGGGCCAAGGGGAGGGAGAGCGTTAGGAGAAATACCTAATGCAGACGACAGGGTGATGGACACAGCAAACCACCTTGGCACATGTATACCTGTGTAACAAACCTGCGTGATCTGCACATGTACCCAGAACTTAAAGTATAATAATAAAATTTAAAACCAAAAAATTTAGTTTTAAATTGTATCATTACACTTTAAGATGATGGGTTGATAGGTACAGCAAACCACCATGGCACATGTATACCTACATAACAAACCTGCACGTTCTGCACATGTATCCCAGAACTTAAAGCAAAAGAAAAAGAAAAAAGAGACTGTGGCACCTATACACAATGGAGTACTGTTTGGCCATAAAAAAAGAATAAGAGCTTGTCATTTGCTATGACATGGATAAAACTGGAGGATATTATGTTAAGTGAAGTAAGGTGGGCACAAAAAGACAGACGTTGCATGTTCTCACTGATTTGTGGGAGCTAAAAATCTTAAAACAACTGAACTCATGGAAATGGAGAATAGGATGGTTACCAGAGGCTGAAAAGGGCAGTAGGCGAAGGGGAGGTGGGAATGGTTGTTGGATACAAAAATATAGTTATATAAACGAGATCTAGTGTTTGATAGCACAGCAGGGTGACTACAGTCAATAATAATTTATTGTACATGTTAAAATTACTAAGAGTATAACCGAGTTGTTTGTAACACAAAGGATAAATACCTGAGGTGCCGGATGCACTATTTTCCCTGATGTGATCACTTCACATTGTAAGCCCATATCAAAATAACTCACATACCCCGTAAATATTTACGCCTATTGTGTACCAACAAAATTAAAAATAAATACATGAATGTCAATAATAGTAATAAAAGCAGATCGGTCCAAATGCTAATACATGTGCCACTGACAAACCCTGAGGGGGCTGCCTCGTGCAGGGCCCACTTATTCATCACCACGTCTCCTTAATGTCCAAGTGCCTTGTTAACTAGTCATTGAGCTGAGAGATTGAACCAGGAGACACGGGCTCCAGAGACAGAAGGGCTAGGGGGCATTGTCTCCTCTAACAGATGATATGGAGGTAGGGGATGACTGAGCTGAATTCACAGCTCAAAGAAGCCATGGCTCCAATCAGATGCTCTGAGTCTTCGTCTATTCCATCACTATCACGAGATTCTGGACACTTCTCCCGGTATTAGTTCCCCACACAGGCTATGCAAAAACAGAGAGAAAAGGCACTGGGCAGAGAGTCTCTGGGCTCAGGGCAGTGCCTCTGAATCTGGACAGAGGATGATGGTGACTCCCAGCAGTCTTGCCGCTGACTCAGCTCTTTCTGAAGCCCCTGGCTTCCCCTTGTTTAGAGGCTTTCCTTGTCATTCTGCTTCTCACCATTCCTGTCCCTCTCCTCTCCCCTGACCTTGCCATCCTTTGAGCTAATCTCTCTCCTAGCAGAAAAACTAGTTCTGCAAGTCTGCATGGCAAAGGGACTTTAAAGTCTTCTGCTGAGCATCTTCTCATTTCCTGATGGGAGCATTTCCGACATTTGTTTCTGGTCCTTGCTCCAGCTGGGAACTATCCCTGGCTCTCTGGGGAGAAGCGTGGGGTACAAGTGGAAGCATTTGGATTTGGTGGGTCAGGGAGTAGAATCAACAATGAGCATTTGAAAAGACATTCCCTTATGCTGGGTTGAAAACTGGCCACCCACTGACTGGATCCAAGCTATGTTTTCTTTGACCCATATGGTATTTGTCTTTAACAGAACAAATATTTGAGATTTTTAGTTTTTCTTGAGTTAGTAAAATCAGAGTCCTGGTGACATTGCACCTGTGTTTCTGCATGATGGCAGCTGCTGGTGCCACTTTGGACCAGCACGTTCAGCCAGCAGGCTTTCTCCTAGGCCCAGCAGACTCCCACTCACAGAGCACACACAGGTACATGTAGAGCACCTGCCCATCCGTGCACTCACCTGTCAGGCCCTCCAGGTCTATGAACTTGTAACCCCCAGCCCTCTGTTCTAACATACCTAAATGAGAGAATTTGTGTATGTATCTGTTAGAAATTTGTACCATGCTAGATGCTATTGCGAGTAGAAAAATAAAGCAGACAAGGTGTTTGGCATCATGAAGCTTACGGCTGACAAACAAACCATCAACCAAAATCATAGCACCAGACGCTGCAGCCCTGGGAGGAGTTCAGGGAAGAAAGAGCTCGAATCTGGTGGGAGTGGTCCCTGAGGACTGTGGCATGTTGATTAGACCAAGAAGGGCAGGTGCCCAGCACTGAGGGTTTAACACCAAAAAAAACAGACAAAACACCTTGTCCTCCTGTGGCTTACATTCTATGGATAGAAAAAAAGATCATAACCAAAATATATAAGTAAATTATACAGGCTGTTACAAACTATTATTAATATAAATCCTATCTATAGCTCCAATAAAAACTCATACAGTTATAATAAAAGACTGTGCAATTAACATCATGAACACCTATGAAGAAGATATAAGGACAGAAATGGTCAGTATGTTGACTGAAAACTAAGAGAAAAAAAAACAAAACCTATTTGAATTGGTATGTAAGCTACAGAATTGTCCAGACATGTCCCAGTTTAATTTCGATTTTGTCACAGAGCGACAATGAGGTTATCAGATCATTTCCTGGCAGTACACGCCTGGGTGCCCTCCAGAACCTGCAACACCTGCTCCAGGCTCCTGGTTCTAAGATTTAAAAAGGAAACTTTGATCAGATTCCCCTTCCACACTGGCCATGACGACGGAGGGGCAAGAAGGAGTGAACCCCCAGAGCCACACAGCAATTTGGTTTGGCGCCTGCAGAGGGCACCCGAGGAACATGACACTATTCCCAGACTCATTCAAGTCCACCTTCGGAATATTTTGCACTTCTTTCGATTCTTATTGTGCTGGATAATGTAAAGTATCTCCAGTTTGTATTTAGCTAAACAATTTTGCAAATGGTTTTTCCATAACTCTGTGTGAAACGTTTCATTGTCTGCCCGCTGCACTTAAATTTCTTACCAGGGCCTAGCCTCCCTCCCTGACCTTATTTCCCACCATCTTTCCCCTCCCTCACCTTATTTCCCACCATCTTTCCCCTCCCTCACTGTGCTCCACTCCCTTGGGCCTCCATCCTGTGGATGCTACACACTCCCTCCAGCCTCAGGGCCTTTGCACTTGCTTTTCCTGCTGCCTACAATGCCTTTTTCCTATTGTTCACCCAGCTACCTTCTACCCATCCTCAAGACTCAGCGTCTATGTTACTCCATCTAGGAAGCTGCTATGATCTGAATGTATCCTCCAGAATTCACATGTTGAAATGTAATGGGCAACATGGTCAGATTATGAGGTGGGGGCCTTTTAAGTCTCAGGATAGAACCCTCAATAGTGGGGTTGGGTCCTTTCTAGAAGGGCTTGAGGGAATGGGTTTGTGCTAGTCCATTCTCCCACTGCTATAAAGAACTGCCCAAGTCTGGGTAATTTTAAAAAGAAATAGGTTTAATTGACTCACAGTTCTGTATGGCTGGGGAAACCTCAGGAAACTTACAATCATGACGGGAGGCAAAGGGAAAGCAAGGCACCTTCTTCACAGGGCAGCAAAGGGGAGAATGAATGCAGGAAGAACGACCCAACACTTATAAAGCCATCAGATCTCGTGAGAACTCACTATCACGACAACAGAGTAGGGGAAACCACCCCCATGATTCAGTTACCTCCACCTGGTTTTTCCCTTGACACATGGGGATTATGGGGATTACAATTCAAGATGAGATTTTGAGTGAGGACATAGCCCAACCGTATCAGGGTTCATTCTCTTCTGCTCTTCTACCATGTCAGGACGGCATTCTGCCCTACAGAGCACATAGCAACAAGGTGGCATCTTAGAAGGAGAAACTGGACCTCTCACCAGCCACCAAACCTACAGGTGCCTTGATCTTGGATTTCCCAGCCTCCAGAATTGTCAGGAATACATTTCTATTGTTTATAAATCATCCAGACCCAGGACTTCAGTTGTCACAGCATAGACGGACTGAGACGCAAGCTTTCCTTAAACACACCCATCTCGCAGACAAGAGCAGCATCCCCTACCCCCTAAAACAGCTTTCTACACCTCCCTGGTACATTCCCTTTTGCATTCTGTGTCCCTGTTCAACTGAGAGCACCAAGGGAAATAAACCATGCCTGTTTTCTTCATCTCTGCAGTTGCAGCACCAACGGGGAAGTATGTGTTTAACATATGTTAACTAATGAATAAATCAGTGCATGAATAAATGAGTGACTGTGTATTTAGAGATTAATACAGTAATATATAATACAACATAAGCTTTTGAGGAATTCGCTCCATTACAATGTACAAGAGTCCATAACTTATTGCATACTATTTGTTTGGTTTTGTTTTTTTGGCTAGGTCTAGTACCCACACACACTGTGATCATGGGGACTCACTGTCTGAGCGACCCTCCTTTCTTCGCCAGATGTCACTATGACTCCAGAATCTGGCATGTGATTTTTCTCTCTGAAACCCCTGAAGAATTGGCTACACGTTGCAAAGCAAGATGACATAAAACCCAGGAAACCACTCTCTTTGGGGCAAAATAGCATCATCTTTTGCTAGTTTGAATTCTTAATCGAATTTTTACCTGGCAAAAAACATAGCATTTTTAAAAGCCCTTCATTGTACACAGTGGTTTAGACCTTTATGAAACAAACCACTAGTTAACCTGTTTATTTCAAGGGTACCTGCTTATAACAACTTTGAGATTAAGAAAGGAGTCAGTGCTTGTTATAAGCAGCAGTTACAGAACGTTTGAATTAAAATATAAATTTCCTAGTGCGATCCACTCAACAAGGATTTATTCAGAACCCAGTAGGCACATTGCATTGAGCTAGGAAACCACTTCACATAGACGCTGCTTATAGAGGGGGCTGTTTTGCAGTAAAGAGGGCATCTTACATATTTGTGACCTTCAAATATCATTTGAATATTTTTCTTTATATTTATGGAAATGTCCAGGTCGTGAGTCTTGCCTCTCCATTCTAAAAATCAGAACTCAACTTCCCAGCATCTTTTAAGCTAGGATGCAGGCCTAGGTCAAGCCAATCAGATTCACCAGTGCTAGACTCCGATTTCTACGAGAATAATGGGGGAGAGAGGAAAGGAGCCATGGAGAATTCCTTCCTGGCCATGAGAGCAGCCTGCAGAGGGACCTGGAGCAGCAGAAAAGAGGGCCTCATGAAAACACCCTGGCCCCAGTGACGCACTTCCCCGTTGGTGCTGCAACTACAGAGATGAAGAAAACAGGCATGGTTTATTTCCCTTGGTGCTCTCAGCAGACCGGGGACACAGAATGCAAAAGGGAATGTACCAGGAAGGCGTAGAAAGCTGCTTTAGGGGATTGGGGATACTGCTCTTGTCTGGGAGATGGGTGTGTTTAAGGAAAGCTTGTGTCTCAGTCCATCACAAGCTTGGCCAGAGGTGCTGGGACCCTGGTCATCAGCAGGCCGGCAAGGTGATTTCAATGTTGTGCCGGGATGCTTTCCTTCACTGCAGATTCCTTCGCTCTCACGAAGAGTCTATGCACATTCCAACTCCCTTATCAATTCTGCTGCTGAATCTAGTTACAGGGTATATGTTGTTTGCCACAAAGAACCTGAAGATGTTTAGAGAAAACTTATTCCTTTGCCATTATAAATGTCAAGACAAGGGGAACAGAAAGGTAAAATACGGCAATGTACTTTAGGTTGGTGTGAGATGCTTCTAAACATAGATAGCTATAGAGATAAAACTCTCTAAATGAAAATGAAAAGCATCCTTACTATGTTTCCATGCACACACAAATTACAACTACGGATGTTGTGCTGATTTTCGGTGCTTTTTATTTTATAGATCACATGCTGAATTAACTTGCTGTGTGCATTTGTGAAAAACTGACACAGACCTTAATGAGGAGACAGGCTAAGGGTGCATCCAAAAACAAAGCCAACAACAACCCCCCTGAACCAACACAACCCACCACCAACACAACAACAAAATAATAACCAGCTCACACTACACATGTGAATGACAAAAAAAAAAAATAGCTGAGAGAAGCCATACTGTGAGCTCAGCCACTGCATTGATGCTTGTAAAAGTCTCAAAAGTCATCATGACTTATCTCTTTTTTGAAGATAAAAGATGAAATTGGGCCAGGTGCAGTGGCTCATGCCTGTAAGGCGAGAACTTTGGGAGGCCAAGGCAGATGGATCACCTGAGGTCAGGAGTTCAAGACCAGCCTGGCCAACATGGTGAAACCCCGCCTCTACTAAAAATACAAAAAATTAGCTGGATGTGGTGGCACGTGCCTGTAATCCGAGCTACTCAGGAGGCTGAGGCAGGAGAATCACTTGAGCCCAGGAGATTGAGGTTGCAGTGAGCCGAGATTGCACCACTGCACCCCAGCCTGGGTGACAGAGCAAGACTCCATCTCAAAAAAATAATAAATAAATAAATAAATAAAGATGAGATTGAAGACATCATGGCACCCATTGACAATGAACGACTTTTCAGGCCCTGAAGTTATAAGGAAGAGGATAAAAAGCAGCCCTGACTCTCAATGCTGACACACTGCCACTTGGAAAAGAGATTGATGCTTAGCAATGTTTAGAAAGTGGTTAATAAAATGAATAGAATTTTTATTGTTTTAAGAATAATAATATTTCTGGCCAGTTAGGCTGCAAAAGTAGACATAAAACCGGAAATAGCCTACTTACATGAGAGTGTTTATTGAAGCCGTGTTTATAAAAAGGAAGCCTTGGAACTCCTCTAAGAGTTTCAGAAAACAGACTAGGTTAAGGGGCATAAGATTCTCACAGTGATATGCGTTTATCACAATGCCAATTTTGAAAGTAATGGCATGGTGAAACATGCTAAAAAAAAGGTAGCGTATGAAATTACAATTTCAATTTTACTTTCAAAAACCCCTATCTATGTAAATATAGATATATTTGGAAAAACACAGAAATAAAATATGTAAAAATGTTAACATATAACAGTGTTTTTATATATAGGCGCCATAAATAAAAGGTGACTTTTTCTTCTATCTTTACAATTTTCCCTATTTTATAAACATGAATTTTATTATTCAAGTAGAAATCAGTATTAATTGTATATGTAATACTATAAAATATGATATATAATAAAAGTAAACTATAATATTTGTGCTTTGTGATTCTAACTTAAAATTTTAAATCTACCCATAGATAGAATACATAGAAAGAAACATACAAAACTCTCAGCATTTGTCACTGGGTGGTAGCATGAAGTCGATTTATTTTTTCCTATTTGTACTTTCTCAATTTTTAAATAACTGTATATTATTTTAATAATATTTGGAAAACTTACTTTTTATGAGATGATTGTGTTGTTATACTTCTAAATAAAGATAAGGAAAGTCAGAGAATTCTCACATTCTACCAATCACAGAGCCTAATCATCAAAAGCAAATAATTTAAATCTAAACAGGTTCTCTATGTTATTATTCTAAGTTTCAGAGGGGGAACCAGAAGCTGTCTGAGATACTAAACCATTAAATACCATTTTCTAAATTCCCACAAGTTTCATCTTTAATGTGATAAACACAAAGCTCATAAAACCCATGATTGCAATAAGAAATTATATTCACTCACTTAACCTATTAACATGTTTGTTATAAGAAATTATTTTTCCTCTTTAGCTGTAACTAAATATGAGCACTTTTTGATAATTAATACTACAGATATAGAATGTATATGAGATATATATTCTCTTGTTTGTAAGAAAGCTTTGTTTTCTCCTTTACACTTCTTAGACTAAGAGTTGCCTCTAGCAGATTCAAATCCAAACACACAGCAAAGCCTTATTCTTCTGAATACAAAAGTTGAGTTGCTATTTCATGTGTGCACGTGAAAATAAAAGCAGATTCATTCAAGCATTTTTGTACTCTCTTAAGTTAAAAGGAAGATAAGAGAAAGTGACAGCTAGAAAACTTGGAATTGGCTATAGCTAGAATGATTCCTGTCTTGATGAGGATTGGAAGAAAAACTTGAGAGCTATTACATTAGCGTCAACTAAGGAATTCAGCCGAAGGCAATAATGGAATTATGTAGGTGAAGTCAAACCATGGGGGGCTCGTATGCCATACGAACCAATATGCGCTTTATTATTCAGACAAAAGGGATAACTGAAAGTTCAGAATAATTGTCTTATTCCACCCCAAGCTTCAGATTTCGGTACTAGCTCAGAGGGTGAACCATGAGGTAGCGATGAAAGTATTCCCAACTTAGAGGGTCATGCTATTCACTTATCAGAATAATCAAGGTAAAGAGGGATTCTGTACCCCATCTTTACCTCTACCTTAACAAACAGAAACCAACTGCTGAGACAGATGGGTTATACGGAAACCCCAACCATCCAGAATACAGCTCAGCACCAAGGAAGACGTTATTTTCATTTCTTTCTTTCTTTTTTTGAGATGTAGTCTTGCTCTGTCGCCCAGTCTGGAGTACGGTGGCATGATCTTGGCTCACTGCAGCCTCCACCACCCGGGTTCATGCGATTCTCTTGTCTCAGCCTACGGAGTTGCTGGGACTACAGGCATGTGCCACCAAGCCTGGCTAATTTTTTTTGTATTTTTAGTAGAAATGGGGTTTCACCATGTTAGCCAGGATGGTCTTGATCTCCTGACCTCATGATGCGCCCGCCTCGGCCTCCTAAAGTGCTGGGATTACAGGATTGAGCCACGGCACCCAACCACATTATTTTCTTCTTTACTGCGAAAGACTGATTACTCATAACTTGCAAGAGGCAGTCAAGCTGACGGGGACTGTTACCATATATATAGCTAATTAGCAAATCTTTGGAATGAGAGACTAAAAGTGTTGAGCCAAGTTCAATAGGCATAGATGTAAAGCCTTGTGTTTAGACTTTGTAGGCTAACTCCAAAAATCCAGGAAAGGAGAGATTTGTGTAACAGCAGTTCATTTAACACAGAAATGAGAGTTTGAGCTATTTAGAACCTTGATTAGTCTAGAGTGTTAATACTGTCTCTCTGCAGTTATAGAAGCTATTCCCACCATGGTGGACATTAGTTAGACAACTGCTAAAATGTCCTTATCTCAGAAGGTGGCCAGATGGTGAAAACCATAGCATATAATCATTAGTTAGTAGCGATGTAAATATTTTCAGATAGTTGAAGGGCTGAAACATAAAAGAAGAATTAGTTATTTTGTATCATGGTAATGGGTTCAATCAGGACCTGGGTACAAGTTACTGGGAAGCAAACCAGTTTTGGTACAATACAAATCAACAACTTTCAAAGAATCAGAGTTTTTCAAAATTGGAATAGATGGTTCTGAGAGTTAGTGCCTTGTCACTGAAATTATTCAAGAATTGTAGGGTGATTCCATGATGGGAGTTTGGTCAATGTATTCTGCTGCTGAATTAGGAGTTTGATTAGATTATATCCAAGTCTCCTTGCAAATCTTTATATTCTAGAATTCTGTAACTCTTCTTGCAGTATATTTGGAGGCCCCAATTCTGTAGTCTGGAAATTGAAATTAAGCATCTCTTTGTTTTTAATATGCTTAGCTTACCAAACCCTAAATCCCATTGATTAAGCTATTGTAAAATAATATTTCTTATAAAGAAATTTCTAGGCATTCTGGAAGACTTGGAGTGTAATATATATTCCCTGGCTTATTATACACATCTTCTAAAAAGATTATTTTCAGCAGCTGTTTCCAGGTACTTTTAAGTTATATGCCATAATCTCTGTTCTATGATCATATCTTTGAGATATCAACATAGCTTAAATAAAAATCTTTATTGGGTTTTTTAAATGTTTTAATATAAAAAGGAAGTAAAACAGTAACCCATGCTGGGCTTTGATGGGGTGCAGATGGGAACCTTCTCTTCGCATGACCCCGGACCAGGCCCTCAAGCATGCTTGGATTCATCAGTCTAGGAACCTCAAGCCACAGCTCAGGCCCCAGACCCTGAGGAAATCCAGTTTCGTTTTCCCCTCTGAGACAAGGAAGATCAAGGTTCAAGGCCGTCATCACTCGAGCAAAAAAGATACAGCCTGTCAAATAGCCAGTCCTATTCCCATAGTCCAGGAAGCCTGCCATTTCTTACCTTTGGGATTTTCCTTTTTTGCTCCTTATTAGGATTTTCCATTATTCTCCTATAATCAATTTCCTTTCTCCTCCTCCCCTTTTCCTTAAGTGTGTCCACCCCTTTATGCCCTATAAGTATCTTTAGAATTTCTGTCAGTGCCAGATGATGGTATTATGCAAATTTTTATGTGCAATATAGCCTAGTGGTTAGGTACGTGGTCACAAGTCGGGTTACCTGGGATTAAATTCTGGCTCCACCAGTTATCAGGTATGGACTTAACCTCTCTATAGCTCAGTATCTCCATTTATGAGAATGAAAATAATGCCCATTCTCCTGGGTCGCTGAAATGGTCAGATGAATTAGTAAATGCAAAGTGCTTAGAATAATGCCTGGCACATTGAACGCGCTTTACAAATGAACTGTTTTTATATCATCCCAGTCATGGTTTCCACTAAGTGATTTACAGCCTAAAGGACAGTTCTCACATAGTCCCCATTTGAATGCTTGTTCCTTCTGTCTTCTCTCTCCTTCAGCAGATGAGATCACCAAAGAGACTACAGAAAAAACAAAAGATGGCCCCATGAGGCATATTCAGCATTCGGGTGATCAGGGGGACTCTCTCCAGCACACAGCTGACACTGTTCAGCTGCCTCAACTGGTAGAAGCTCCCCCGAAGTCAGAGGCAGCTGTTGGGGCAGAAGTCTCCATGACCTCCACAGGACAGAGCAAAAATTCCTCCCCAAAGAACACAAACATTTTACCCCCTATTGTATGACCTTTGCTGAGAGTGTGTCCTGCTCCTTTCCACCAGTGATTTGTATTAAGACAGCACTTATATTGGACAATACTTCAGACTGTTGCTTTTTAATACATAAAAGTTTATTTTAAAAAAACTCTTATTAATATGGCCAGTTGGCGTGATTTCTCTTATGAGGCATGGGGGAGGATGTCCTCACACTTAAATTCATTCCATATGTGTTTGTGTGTTGGTGTGGGAATAGTTTTTAACTATTAATGTTATAGAATCATTAATGGAACTCTAAACAAATACATTTTTTTTTTGTTCTTGCTCGTGACTGCCAACTTATGTCAGGATTTTATTTGAAAATGATAGAAGCTGAATTCAAAAGTAGCTTAAACAACAGAAGACATTTATTGACTTATATAATTGGGGAATCAGAAAGGGTAGATGTAGTTTCAGGCACAGCGGGATCCAGGAATTCAAATGAGGTTGTAGGGTTCAGACTTCCTCTTCATCTATTAACCTTGCTTCTCTCTATGGTTAACTCCATCCTGATGACAGGCTCTGCCCAGAAATTAACCACCAACATCCAGTCAAAAGATGCAGGCTTCTTTGCTGACAGGAAGTCTCCAAAATGATTGTGACACAGAAACTGTGCCTGGGAGACTGGGATGCTTGGCCAGTCAGGGCCCCAAGCCCACAGTGATGGTGAAGGTACTGTGACTGATGCTTCTCTAGACTAGAGCAAGGGATGGAAGTTTTCCCAAAGGAGGGGAACAAGCAGGACACATTCATTTATCTATCATACCGCAAATCTAAGTATGCCTTCTTACTTCCCTTTCTAATCCTTATCTACACAAATACATAACCTTTATGTGATTATAATAGGGCAGATAGAATTCTACGTGAAACAAGATTATAACATCAGAAACAATATAGAATATATAAAAATAGTTTTAGTTTTCTTTTTTACTTGCCATTTGGAATAACCTCCCCTCAATACACTTTTCATTTTAATTGTTGCATAACATTTTATGAACATTGACACCAAGTCATTAAAGCAATGGATTTGGATGCAATCTCCCAGGGAAGATTTGAGTTAGAATAGCAGAGGGTTGAAAGTAAGTCCTAGGAAAGATAAACATAAAAGGAGTTGACAGAGTTGAGGAGGTCCCCCAAGAGACCCAGAGATACAGGAAGAAAATTAGAAGCCAATGGAAAAGTTTCTAAAAGGAAAGAAGGGTCAAGAATATAAAATTCCACAGAAAATTCAGGATAAGAACAGAAAGTATTTCTTAAGTAGGGTGATATGTATATTAAGTCAGAGCAGTATTAGAACAGGTATCTTATCCCAGGTTCTATAGCCAGCCAGAAAGCAACAAAACCAGCAACAGAATTCAGATCCTTGGGAATATTCTTGACACGAACTTCAACCATGGATGAAGTCGGAGGCGGACATTGTCTGCAGCTCTACAGAGAAAGGGAAACCAAGTCTTCAACATTGTAATTGGGATGATTTTGATTGAATATTAGAAAGTATCTTCTGATTTTCATGGTTATAAAAGGCTAAAATGAATTATTGATAAACTGTGGTTTAGTTTAAGAGAATGAGGAAGCTGCAAATTGTGACAGAGACGGGGACAGGCTGAGTGACCTCCAGCAGGGCCCCTCAGTCCAGCTCTGCTGTACCTCTGGCATTCATCTAGTTATTTTTTCACTCCTGGGATTTCTCTACCTGATTGTTCCATTGGATCCCAAGAAAGCAAAACACGTGGAGTCATTTAGTTGTAATTTTTTAATTTTACGTCCTTGCACTCGTGGACAGGAAAATCTGCAAAATCCAGTGACTAGCATAAGATGACATGTCTTTGATGAGAGTGATATGAAGATAATGTTAGGGCTCTGTAAGGATATAGAGGGGGAGCTGTGGAAATGAGAAAGAAGGGTGGGGATAAGGGCCAGGCCCACTGCCGGAAGAGGGGAAAGCAGTGGGGTTGCTGATCACAGGTTCACCATCAGCCAGTCCAGCAGCTGCAGTGCCGTGACATTCCCCACTGCCTCATTCAGCTGGCGCTGCTTCTCATAGCATAGCACTGACTGCAGAACCTCACCCACGCTGCATCCTTTGTCCACAGCAGCAGCCGAGAGCTGAAGTAGCTGTGAAAGAAAAGAAAACACTAGTGGAGAGGCCCAGCATTCCATGGCAGGCCAGATGGAGCCTGCCAAGTCTAGAGCAGAGAGGCCAGGCAGACCTTGGGAAACTGCAACACAGACTTTAAAGTCTGCTGGCTTGTTTGCAAGAAGAACGTTGGTGACAACATTTTTAGTTTAAAGGAGAGATGTTAACACCCACTTGCCCATGATCTTGCTCTCTAAGAATTCTAAGGTTCTAAGTTCACCCTAATATCATAAAAATCTCTGTCATTGTCCTAAGACCAAAAGTGCATGACAGAAAATATCCAGTGAACAAATGTGGATGCTGCTTTCCCTGCCCCATAGACCACAGAACCCTAAAATGTTAGAGCAAAAGGGCACCTCGGAGATCAATTCAATCCTCATGAAGTGCTTCCCAGAGAAGTAAAGAGACTGTTAGTTGCACACAGTTGGGGGATGAAAACTGGGAAGTGTAAATAACTAAAAATAGCCTACAAAATTCTGGGGTAGAAAAATAAGGAGTTTCCAGTCCTATCAGATATTCAAAAATATTACAGAATTACAGTAAGTAAAACAGTGTGCTATTGGTACAAGAGTAGATGGACGATTCAATGGCACAGAGTAGAAAGTTTAGAAAAAGAATAGAAAATAATAAGAAATTGTAACCCTACTTCATACCTTACATAAAAATGAATTCAAAATGTATTAAAGTCTTAAATATATTTTAAAAATCATAAAAGTACAATCATGCACTGCATAATGATGTTTCAGTCAACCACAGACCATACATATGATGGTGGTTCCATAAGCTTATAATGGACCTGAAAAATTCCTATTTTCTAGTGATATCGTAGTCATCATAACATAGCACAACACATTACTCACTAGTTGGGGGTGATGCTGCTGTAAACAAACCTACTGTGCTGCCAGTTGTATAAAAGTCCAGCACACATTATTCCATATAGTGGATAGTACTTCATAATGATAATAAATGACTATGTTACTGATTCCTGTATTTACTGTACTATACTTTTAGTGTTATTTTAGTCTACTCCTGCTTACTAAAAAAACTGTAAAACAGCCTCAGGCAGGTCCTTTAGGACAAAGGCATTGTCATCATAGGACATAATACATAATAGCTTCATAAGCGTTACTTCCCCTGAAGACCTTCTAGTGGAAGAATGTGCAGAGGTGGAAAGCAGTAATATTGATGATCCTGACCCCATGTGGGCCTAGGCCAATGTGTGTGTCTGTGTCTTCATTTTTAATAACAAGTTAAAAAAATAGAAAAAAAGCTTATAAAAAGGAATATAAAGAAAAAATATTTGTGTATAACTGTACAATGTGTTTGTGTTTTAAGCTAAGTGTTATTTACAAGAGTCAAAAAGTTTAAAAAAATTAAAAGTTTAAAACATAAAAATGTTACAGTAAGTGGTCAATTTATTATTGAAGAAAAAATATTTTAAAATATATTTATTGTAGCCTAAATGTACTGTGTTTATAAAGTCTACAGTAGTGAACAGTAATGTCCTAGGCCTTCACATTCACTCACCACTCAGTCACTCACTCATCCAGAGCAACTTCCAGTCCTGTGAGCTCCATTCATGGTAAATGACCTACACAGATGTACAATGTTTTATCTTTTATGCCATATTTTTAGTGTACCTCTTCTATATTTCAATATGTTTAGATCCACACATACCATGGTGTTACAATTGCTTATAGTATTCAGTACAGTAACATGCTGTATATAGGTGTGTAGCCTAGGAGCAATAGAATACAATATTGTCCTATACAATACAATAAAAGCTAGATATATAGTAGGCTATACGAGCTAGGTTTGTGTAAGTACACTCTATGATGTTCACACAATGAGGAAATCACTTAACGACACATTTCTCAGAACATATCCTGTTATTAAGCAATGCATGATTGTATGAAAGAAAAATGGGAAAGTTTTGCTAATAACATAATTAGCTAGTATCATTTGTTTGCTAATATCATTTGTTTTCCAAAATAAAACATAAAACCCAGCAAAAATAAAAATGTCTCATATTTGACTACATTTGTGTGGCAGACACAATCTAAAACAAAACAAAACAAAACATCAATCAAAAGACCAATGACAAAGGAAACATTTGCATTTAATATCATAAAGGTTGATTCCTTGTAATATATAAAACCCTTATAGATCAATAAGGAAAAGGTCTACAATGCAAGAAAAAAAATGGTCAGAACACAAAAAGAATACCTAGGAATACAGCTAAACAAGGAGGTGAAAATCTCTACAATGAGAATTACAAAACACTGCTCAAAGAAATCAGAGATGACAAAAACAAATGAAAAAATATTCCATGCTTATGGATAGAAAAAGTCAATATTGTTAAAATGGTCATACTTCCCAAAGGAACTTATGGTTCAATGCTATTCCTATTAAATGACCAATGACATTCTTCATATAAACTATTTTAAAATTCACATGCAACCAGAAAAGAGCATACCAATAGCCAAGGCAATCCTAGGAAAAAGAACAAAGCTAAAGACATAACATTATATGACTTCAAAATATACTACAGAACCACAGTAACCAAAACGCATGATACTGGTACAAAAACAGACACATAGACCAATGAAACAGAATACAGAGCCCAGAAATACGGCCACACAGCTATAACCATCTGATCTTTGACAAAGCTGACAAAAACAAGCAATGGCAAAGGACTTGCTATTCAATAAATGGTGCTGGGATAACTGGCTAGCCATACGCAGAAGATTGAAATTGGACCCCTTCCTTACACCATATACAAAAATAAACTCAAGATTGATTAAAGACTTAAATGTAAGACTAAAAACTAAAAATCCTAAAAGACATCCTAGGCAATAACATTCTAGACATAGAAACTGGTAAAGATTTTATGATGAATACACCAAAAGCAACTGCAACGAGAGCAAAAATTGACAAATGGGACCTAATTAAATTTTAGAGATTCTGCACAGTAATAGAAACTATTAATAGATTAAACAGACAACCTACATAATGGGAGGAAATATCTGCAAACTATGTGTCTGACAAAGGTCTAATGTTCAGCACCTATAAGGAACTTAAAGTTACATTAAAAAAAAAAAAAACATTAAAAAGCAGGCAAAGGACACAAACAGACCCTTTTCAAAAGAAGACATGTGTGGTCAAGAAGCATATAAAAACAAGCTCAATATCACTGGTTACTAGATAAACACAAATAAAAACCATAATAAGATACCATCTCACACCAGTTAGAATGGCTGTTATTAAAAGTAAAAAATAATAGATGCCGGCAAGGTTGCAGAGAAAAGGGAACATTTATACACTGTTGGTGGGAATGTAAATTAGTTCAACCATTGTTAAAAGCAGTGTGGTGATTCCTCAAAGAGCTAAAATCAGAACTACCATTCAACTCAGCAATCCCATTACTGGGTGTATACACAAAGGAATATAAACTGTTTTACCGCAAAGACACATACACATGAATGTTCATTGCAACACTATTCACAGTAACAAAGATATGGAATTAACCTAAATACCCATCAATGGTAGATGGGATTAAAAAAATGTGATACAAATACACCATAGAATATTACACAGCCATAAAAAAGTACACAACCAAGGGATCCCAAGATGGTTGAATAAGAGGCAGCTCTGGAAAACAGCTCCCAGTGAGAGAGACACAGAAGCCGAGTGGTCTCCACAATTCCAAATGAGGTACCAGGTTCATTTGGTGGGTCTGGTTGGACAGTGGGTATAAACCAAATAGGGCAAGTTGAGGCAAGGTGGGGTAACGCCCCACCCAGGAGGTGCATGCAACCAACCAGAGGACCAGGGGATCTCCTCCTCTGAGACTTCGGTTTGGATACAGTGCTCCTCCCAAGCCCTCTACAACCCACAGAACAGGAGATCTTTGCCAGGCTGAAAAGCCTCAGTGAGCTGCCTGAACAGGGCAGAACAGCAACTTTGGCAGGCGCCGGGGCTGTCAGCATAGATCTAGGTAGAAGCACTGGCTGACTTGAAAGCCAGAAAGCTGGCTGGATGGAGCCACCGGCTCCCCAGAAAGAAGGGGAACTGCAAACAGGGAAACAGCCCATACGGCAGGATGGGTCCCCTGCACAAAGCCTAGAGGCTAGAAAACTCTCACTCCAGAGTTTTGCACCCAGAACATCAGTTAGAGAGTGACTAGGAATGATTGAGCTTGGCACAGGGAAGGGCAGCCACCATTGCAGAAGCCAGCCTTATGTTCCTGAGTAAATAAAAGATGCAGCAGCTCCACTGAATCTGTGGCAGGCCAGCAGCGCCTCTGCAGGCAGACAAAGGAAAGTCTGCCTCCCCAAGTAGCTACCTGAGATCAAAACTATATAAATCCAAGGAGATGGGAAGAAACCAGCGCAAGAAGAATGAAACCATCAAAAACGAGAACGCCTCTCCCCCACCACAAGATCACAACTCCTCACCAGCAAGGGAACAAAGCTGGATGGAGAATGAATTTGATGAATTGACAGAAGCAGGCTTCAGAAGGTAGGTAATAACAAACTTCTCTGAGTTAAAGGAACATGTTCTATCTCAATGCAAAGAAACTAAAAATCTTGAAAAACAGTTAGAAGAAGTGCTAACTAGAATACCAGCTTAGAGAAGAACATAAACAACTTGATGGAGCTGAAAAACAGCACAAGAACTTTGAGAAACATACACAAGTTTCAATAGCCGAATCAATCAAGCAGAAGAAAGGATATCAGAGATTGAAGATCAACTCAATAAAATAAAACGAGAAAGCAAGAAAAGACAACAAAGAGTGAAAAGAAATGAACAATGCCTTCAAGAAATATGGGATTATGTGAAAAGACCTAATCTACGTTTGATCGGTGTACCGGAAGATGATGGGAAGAATAAATCCAAGCTGGAAAACACTCTTTAGGATATTACCCAGGAGAACTTCCCCAACATAGCAAGGCAGGCCAACATTCAAATACAGGAA